TAGGGCAGGATATGACATTTCTTAGTCCTCCAGCAGCTGACTTTTGTTTTTTTCGACAGGATGGTGAAAAAGTGAAAAACCCTAGATCACCTTTTTGGATTCTTATTACCCAAGTTACTAAGAATATTACCAGTGGCACAAAGAAAGCTTAGCCAATAAGCAGTCAGAAAAGGTGTTTCCTCTGTAGTTCACACCAATTGCCGGCTTGGCCCCCCTTTCCCCCATACCTGATGCCCCTGGCCCAGGCTTCAGGCCTGGGCAGGGGACCCCCATCTCCCCCCGGTCACCGGCTCTGCCCTCACCCAGGCCTGTTGCCTTGGCCAGAGGTGTCGACCCCCATCATCCTCTGATCGCAGGATCAGCCCCTTGCCCAGGCCTGATGCCTCTGGGAGAGGTGTCAGGCCTGGGAAGCGGACCCCTATATCCCTCCCATCACCGGCTCAGCCCTTGCCCAGGCCTGACGCCTCAGCCAGAGGCATCAACCCCCATCACCCTTTGATCACCTGATAGGTCCCCCACCCAGGCCTGAAGCCTCAGCCAGAGGCATCGACCCCCATCACCCTTTGATCAACGGATAGATCCCCCGCCCAGGCCTGAGGCCTCAGCCAGAGGCCTCAGGACTGGGCAGGGGACCCCCAGACCCCGCCGATTGCTGGCTCTGCCCCAAGCCCAGGCCTGAAGCCACTGGCCCAGGTGTCAGGCCTGGGCAGGGGATCCCCATCTCCCCCCATCACTTTCTCCACCCCCTGCCCAGGCCTGACGCCTCTGGCCCAGGCATCAAGCCTGGGCAGGGGACCCCCATCACCCTCCAATCACCAGATCGGCCCGTCAACCAGGCCTGACACCCCCCATCAGCCTCCGATCGCAGGATCGGCCCACCTCTGGCCCAGGCATCAGGCCGGGGCAGGGGACCCCCATCACCCTCCAATCACCAGATCGGCCCGTCAACCAGGCCTGACACCCCCCATCAGCCTCCGATCGCAGGATCGGCCCATTGCCCAGGCCTGACACCTCCGCCAGAGGTGTCAGGCCTGGGCAGGGGACCCCCATCTCCCCCCGATCACTGGTAATGCCCCGCA